AAATGACCTTTGTTCATGTTGCTCTCGGCCCTCCATAAGGACTTATCTGTCGGCAAAAGCTGGGACTGACAGTGCAACCGTGAGAGTCATATAGCTCTGACTTTAGCTCAGTAATAGGACCTTTTCTAGCTAGTTAGAGGTTACCTTTTTGGCGCAAATGGGGCTTGCCACGTTGGGTATAGGGCTGCCTCTGTTCCTATGTGTATAGCCGCTATGGATATGTGCCATAGGAAAGGGGGGTTCCTACATCTGCCTGCCAAGAAAACCTAGCGGCCCTAACTTATTAGAGAAACCTATGAAATGGCTTCATAGTGTACCATGCCCGCTCACCTTGGTAGTGACATGGGAGTAATTAACCCGGGCATATGGGGATCACGACTCGCGGTGAATGTGCACCACCTCTGCAGAGGGTAACAAATCATTATAACAAACCGTGCTCACTACGATTACAGCTGGCCGGAAAACTCACAGAATAAATGGTTACTTGTTGATGATAATTTAAAGTTGTTCAATGATGATATATGGTACACTTGACCCCGATATATGTTCTTATGGGAATTAAATGGGAGCTTAAGCATAACTTGATAATACTTGAGAATAAAAGCTTGACCTATTAAAAATGCTAAGCAAAGAAACGAGTCTATCCTTTTTGAGCTTCATAACCCCATGTTATCTTGCTAAGTACGGAATGTACTTACACTTGTTTATTTTCTTTACTTGGATAAAAATCCCGGATGGGTAACGGATGACAACGGGTATGAGGATTTCCCGGAGGATTATTAGGCTTGTGGTCAACCAGTTGACCTTCCTGTGATAATGACCCAGAGTTTTATTATCTTTTAGTATTCCGATGTGATGTATAAAACTAAGTTTTATTACAACTCGATGTATGAGACACCGTGATGATACTTTTTTGTAATTTGTGTCGACTTGTGTGTGTGATTGATTCACAGGCACACACGAGTTTTGTGCATTCAATTTTATCCTTAAAATTGGGTGTGACATTTGTGCAAATGAGATGTTGTTGAGTGTGGCGGCAGTTTGTGGATCCGGTGGGAGGAAGAGCCGTGACGTGAGCACTGGGTGCCGGGTCGAGGGTCGGGCGCCGAGAACGCCATTGTCGTAGTGCGTGGTGGCACTGGAATGGCCACGCTGAACCATGCGAATCCACGAAGTTCATCGTCGGCCGAAGTCGGGCGGTGGCGCTTTGGTTCGATGGTGGCGCTTTTCTTTCTTCTTCTTTTTTTGTTGGTGGAGGAGGAAGGCGTGGAAGGCGACCATTGTTGTAGGGTCTTGAGGAGTGGGACGTCGTGGCGGCGGTTTGCCGTAAGCGCCCGAGGCGGGCGCGCGGCAATGCGGTGTGGGCGACGAGGCGTCGCGGCTGAAGATGTGCGGCCGATGGCGCCGCATGGATGGAGCGCGAGCGAGGATGATCCGGTGTTCGTGGCCTTGGCGACCATTGCCGCCCGCAGCTGCATCTTCTCGGACTTCGGCGATCTTTGTGTTCTTCGAGCTGCAAGCATGGATCATGTCTTGAGGAGCGGCAAAGCGGCGGCGAAGGGTGATGTGTGGAATCGCATGATGGAGCGAGGGTTGAGGCGCGAGCGATGTTGTAGATGAGGTCTTTGTCGTTCACCGGAGCACCGAGGCCGGCGAGGCGGTCTGCCATGACCTTCATGCGGGAGCAGTAGTCGAGGACGGTGAGGTCGCCTTAGTAGAAGTTGCGGAACTCGGCGCCGAGGTAGACGGCGTGGGTGTCCTTGTTGTCGCGGAAGAGGTTGCGGACGCCGCGCCAGATAGAGTAGGCGGTGTCGGTGTCCTCCAAGACCATGGAGAGGAGCTCGGGGGAGATACGGTTGTAGAACCAGGAAACGATGGCCCAGTCGTTCTGCACCCAATCGTTGTCGCCCTTAGCCGCAGTGCCGTCAACGTGATCACGGAGCCCGTACTGACCGAAGATGGCGGAGAAGGAGCGAGCCCAGGCGACGTAGTTCGCGTCATTGAAATCGAGGACGATCGGCACGCGGTTCAGGATGTTGATGCCGTGGACGACCGACAGGGCAGCGTGCTCGGTCTGGACGCGGAGCGTGTGTGGGAGCAGCGACTCGGCGTCGGAGTTGTCGGCGGAGCCCGACGAGGAAGTGGAAGAAGAGCTCATGGCGGCGGCGAGAGGAAAGCAGAGAGTTAGGCAGCGGAAATTGTGGATCGTGAACCGTCTGATACCATGTAAGCGGGAGAAAAAACAATGAGGACAACTCAATTGTATTGATCAGAGGCTTACGCCTTTATACAAGTACATCACGGTCAGATAACTGACGAAGCTAGCTACATTCAAGGAGAGCCTTACGACGTGTGAACGTGCAGTGAATGTGCACGGAAACTTCTCGCTAACAGTGATGGCCAGAGCACCGACTTCTGGCATGACCGCTGGCTGACTGACGCCCCTCTCGCCGCCATGCTGCCTGCGCTCTTCAGCCACTTCGACAGGAGAGCAACTTCGGTGCACGACGTCCTTGCATCAAATTGGCGCAACCAGTTCCAGCGAAGGTTGACAGCACAAGCAACTGACGAATTCAACCAACTGTCCGCGATGTTGCAAGGGGTGGCACTGAACTCAGAGCCCGACGATCGTGCCAGCTTCTTCGAAGACAGTGACCACCGTCTGCTGGAGGGTCTCATTTACAAGGCCTCCACGCGCGGCGACCAGCAGTGCCCTTCGTACTCCTTCATCTGGTGCAACTTCGCTCCTCCACGGGTGAAGTTCTTCGGCTGGCTCCTCATCCAGAACAGGATCCACTGCCGGGCGGCGCTAGTACGCAAGCACATCCTCGACGACGCGCGCTGTGAGCTGTGCGGCTTGGCCGATGAGACAGCAGACCACATTTTCTTGGAGTGCAATTTCATCCACATCTTCTGGGTTCACATCGGTTGGTCGCCCGCCGGGATCGCCAAGGTCTCCGAACTCTGGAACACCCAACCTCCTCCCAGGATTTCAAAGGTGGTGCTGAATCCACTGCTTCTTCTACTGTGCTGGGAAATTTGGAAGCATAGGAATGAGGTAGTCTTCCGTTGATTGCCGCCGGATTTAACAAGACTCACCTCTGCTTGCAAGGCCACGATCATGGATTGGGGATGCCGCATTCCCAGGAAAGAGGAAACTTTAGCTAGGCTATGGAGAAATCTGGTGAGCATGTAATCTACACTCCTCCCTCCTTTTCTGAAACTGCATGTGTAACAAAGGCAAGGCCATGCCTTCCACCCACCGGTCTTCCGGCATCCGTGGAATATATTGCAGGTGGGGATTTTGTTAATCCCCCGAAGTTGACCTCAAAAAAAGATGGGCCAAATTCATTCATTCTTTATTCGTCGAGAGTCGATTCTCAAACATGAATCGATTCTTCTTCTCTCTCATCCGTAATTTGCTTGCTTCAGTTATTGGGACGATTCATTGAGATTCCACATGGGACAATGCATGGGTTCTTCCCTATTGGAAAAGCCCTCGTCGCCAAGCCACATCAGCAAATAACTAGGTTTGCGTTTGGTTGGAGGACAAAGTTAATGAGGTACGACGATCCATGGATATTGGAATAAGAATATTCATGATGCATGATACATGTTTGATTGGACGGATGAAAGTGGATGGGACGAGAATAGTTGACTAATTATATCTATTATTTAAAAATAATAACAACTAATTACATACTAATAAATATATGTACTAATACTAATTTTGTCATGATAATCACTAATTTAAAACAAAATATATTAATTAGCACCACTAATATCCTAATTAGCACACCAAACATGCACTAATCAACTTATTAGCACTTATCAAAACTAATCCTATCATCATAATTACTAAGTAATAATATAACATACTAATAATTCTTAATTTATTTTCTAATGACAAAGATTAGAAGACATGGATAAGTTAGTCCGCCAGATTTTTTTCGGCCCAGAAAATCTAGAATCTAGAGGTATATTCCATATCTATGGATTTACTTTATCCCAGTGATCCACCCAACCAAACGATACATATTCATGAATGGTCCCATCCCATCCATGAAGCAACCAAAGACACCCTAGGTGAACAAAAGTGAGAAATGAAGAGAGAACATGTCTATGATCAAGGATTTGTAGGTATTTGCTTAGTGCATATACGAGATCTTATTTTTATTTTGTTATTTTTTATGATGCCTGTGTGTACTCTAAATAGAGCTTTTACTTCGTGCTAAAAAATAGCAAAGTGCATACTTAAACGACACAGAAACAGAGATTACAGACCTAATTAGTCATACCGGAATAACACACCCCAATAAGTACTCCCTCCGTCCACAAAAAAATGTAATTATGAGATCCGTGCCGATCAAAGTAGCTTAAGTTTGACCAAGTTTATAGCAAATATTATTAATATTTATGTCTCCAAATAAATTTATTATAAAAATATATTATATGACTAATCTAATGATACTAATTTTATATCAGTAATGTTAGTATTTTTTTATATAATTTTAGTCAAAATTCAAACTGATTGATTTCTTGGGAAGTGAGAATTGTATTTTTTTTTTTTTTGACGGAGGTAGTATAAGGACCCGGTATGCACTTTGCACTAAAAAAAATGGATTCTTTTGTTTTGGTGGCCTGCTCCTATTACTGAAGATACTGGGCCCAATTTAAAACGAGAAGCCGGGCCCAATTTACCGAAGATGGTCGAGGGCAGCCCACGGTGCAGCACCCGGTCACCCCTCTCTCTCATCTTAAAAAAAAATCTACAAAAAGAAGAAGAGCCAGTCAACCCGAACACGTGTCAGAGACGAGTACACTTCCCGGGCCCTACATCTGAAAAGGAAGGATTCCCGCCCACGGCGAGCCTAGCCGTGCGTTTGAGCCTTTGAGGCGGCGGCGATTGAGGAGCCAGGGAGAGATAGGAGGAGGAGGAGACGGCAGGCAGGCACCGGCGGCGCGGGTGATCTCTCCAGAGTCCGACATCGCCGGAGCAGATGGACGCTCCGGAAAGCCCCCCGGCCGGGCGACCGTCATCCGACGCCGTCGCGCTCTACGAGGTCCGTTCCTACTCCTCACACGCCGCCCCCGCCGCGGTTCGCCGCTTTTGTCTGACACAAGTGCTCAAAGGTTCCTAATTTCTACTTCAATGTTTTCCGACGGTGGTGTGCAGTGACGGGGTTTGGGATGAGAATTATGTGTGAACGGGTTACGGGTCGGCTGACGAGTGACAAATGCAAGCAGGGTTTTTTTTGGTTAGTTCGTCTTCCCGGGTTACTTTTTGGTATCTGTATTGGCCAATTGTGTTCGCTGGGTTCATCGGTTCGAGTTTTGGGCTTCGTCTTTGATGGGGAGGTTAGGGTTTAGGATGGGCCGCGATGGATGACGATTGGCTATTGCTTCTCCAATCTCCGGTCTCAGAACTAGCGTTTTCCCTTCCGTGGATGGATGTAGGGATGGAAGGAGGGGGACATTGGCCTACATTTTGGTGGTCCACCTCTCTAATCAAAGCATTTCTCACAGTTTCCAATGTTTCGATGCTCTTAGGAAGTACTTCTAGGTTTGGGGCACAATTGGATGAGCCACCTAGTGGTTTAATTGTTTTGTTTCAGGAAGGGATATTACGGTTAATTGACACACCAAATTGTTTCGAAACTTAAGGTTTAGATCCGTGTCCTGCAGCTGTTGCTCTTCTACTCCTATCTGTGTATTGGCTATTATCTAGTTTGTCAGAGTTTTGACTGCATTTCCTGTGAATTTTCATATTGAAAAGGATTATGATTGCTGTCTACTGGAAATGCAAATCATGCGGGTAAATAGGTGTTATGTACTTATGTGAGTGCTTGATGTTGAAAGGGCCACCTTTTAGATCAACTAGCAATATGGATTGTGCAGAGATCAAAATGAAATGAAATACCCTGCCACTTTTAGTGTAGATTTTTCTTTTGCTGATATTTCCCTTCCTTTGTGTAGCTCTTGTTCAAATACTTGCATGAATGGTAATGTTTATTTGTCTTATGGGTGGTTTCAAATTACACACTCAATTTTGTTCACCTCTCCATTGTAGCTGATTTAATTAATAATTTAGTGATACTAGAGCATTAGTAAGTTGTCTCTGCATATACCTGCACAAATACACATGTTCTCATGTGATTTCATTTTTAATACGAGCATATGACTACTGCACACTCACATTATAAGGTAGTTATTTCATACTTAAGTTTTTTTCCTTGAGTCTTGAGTTTCTAATTAGATTTCACACTTGCAGCACTCTCCTATCTTTGATTTCATCAATAGTTTATCTCCTATAGCGACACCAAAGCCTTTAGGTTCAACACAAAATGTCCAGCTATTCAAGTCATCAAACTTACCACCTCTTTCTTCAATCTTCACCTCGCCCCAAGTCAATCCACGAAAGGAATCTAAATCCACAATCAGGTAAATCTTCTATTATCGTTTCCGATAATATGTGTTTTTATCATTTAAACTTAGTACACATCTTTACATGTTGACCAGGGATGTTAAGCTTTCTCAAGAAGAACTCAATCCTAACTGCCAAAGGAACCAGATGGGGACTTTTAGCTGCATTGAACTGTCTGGATCTGCAGCACTTGCTTCAGAAAATTGTAGTCCTTCTGAGGATGCAACAAATTGGCCAAGTAAATGGCTCCAATCCACCCCGTTTGGTAGTGAAACTTTAGGAGATGCCAAGAAACAAGATACTGATGACAAAACAAATCATACTGCAGATGTGGAACAGGTAAAGCCATCAAGCACATACTCTGATCAGAATGGCCTCGACCAAGTGGACTCATCAACTTCTGGAAGAATTGTTCAGGAGAATGAGCTGGCCAAACAGGATAGAAATGATTTAGCGCCATGCAGTTTAAACCACTTGATCACACATTGTGGTACTGGTAATAGTGTCATATCAATATCAGATCTGGCCTTAGAAGCACAACAACGGAGTTGGAAATTAAGAGGTGATAATATCATATCTAGCACATCCATCCTGGCAGTGGATCAAGGAAATTTGGAGGATTCACGAAGAGAACATTTTGTTGAGCCATTTGGATCTTATATCCAGAGTGCTGCTGATGACACTCATGTTTACTGTGCTGATGCAGCAGCAGGTGTTGCAACGAATCATGACCAAGAAATGCTCCCTGCTGTTATTCAAAACCAGTTGGTTTCAAATGACTATAATTTTTACACATTCAAAGTTTCCATTGATGGCACGGTAATGGAGAATCCCTTGATGCCATCAATAATTTTAGTCTTTCCTTTCTAATATAATTTAGGTCTGATTGATAGTGAATGTGTTTTTTCCCCTGTAATTTGATTAATCCTCTGATACCAAATCTGGACCTTCATTCTGGTTATATTAACTAGCCAGAGACTGTACAGTTTAAGTGTTGAAAACTTCTAAATTGCATCTATTGTAAGTTTGTAACAGAAGTAGGTGTGAAACCTTGATTTGACTGAAGTGCCTTTTATGTTTTGTTTTCCTATTTGATGCTCTTGTCAGAAAACATGACAATTTGTTTTCATCTCGCAGGCCATATCACAGCAGCAATGTGGTATGCATAGGCGTAACCTTTTTAACGACAAGGTAGGGCCATCTAATAAGAGAGTGCAAAATATCTCAAATATTCATCATGCGAATACATGTGGCAATAACTATCTGAAGCCTGTGAAGCCTGGTATTGGTTTGCATCTGAATACTGTTGCCTTGAATTTATCCAACATGCCGCTCACAATTAATCCTCCACTGCTACCTGAACAAACTAGTCCAGCAACAGTAATTTCTGGCAGTGAGACCGCTCTTTATGGCAGTGAGGTATGCACTCATGTTGACGATTACTCTTCTCAGAAAACCATGCCTAATGCTGACAAGTCTGACCAACAAAGTCACAAGAAGAGAAGGTTAGTTAATATTTGCCTCTCTCGCTCTCTTTATCTAGAATTTTACTCTATTGATGGTGACTTTTGGGAGTCCTTTTGCAGGCGCAAATTACAAAACGATGATGGTGAATCATGCAGACATTGTAGCTGTAAAAAGTCAAAATGCTTAAAACTGTAAGGTTCCTTGCAATATACAGATTTTTCCATGTACACTTTACCTGTATCCGTGAGGATATCAAATGCGTTTGAAGCAGACAATATGATAATGTTCGATTTGGGCTGTTCCAATGTACTTGTAATCATTGCGTTAAAAAAAAGTACTTGTAATCATAAAATGATATGGCCTACCGATGATTCAGGTATAAGACAAATACATGCATATGGTTGATTTGTGTGCAGCAGATACTTATTTGTTCAAGGCTTTAAGACTACTGACTTTCTAGGTTGGTCTTTCCTACCAAAACACATTGAAATTGGCTGGAAATCAGCCTGTTTTAACGGATATAGAAAGCTTCTATTTAAAATACTTCTCATATTTTATTGACAGAAATAACTTATTCTGTTTGAAAATCATCTCCTTGGTTGGATTCATGTAGAGTCAGCCTTGACTGCAATATAGTTCGTCATACCCTGGTTTTCATGAGGAGCTCAAGAACTTGGGCTTCTGACAGTTCTATCCCATTAGTGTTGGGTGCATCTAGTTTTGAGTTCTGGTTGTTTAATTGGTTGAGAGAAGTCGTTCTTCTGAAGAGTGCTGTTAGCTTTCTGTCTTTTTCAGACCAGTATCTCATACTCACTCATAGTTTCAATATTATAACATGAGTGATAGAGGTTTGACCAATGGAATTCACAAAAATTTCTCCATCAAGATAAGGGGGTTCAAGCTTCCTTCTAAGTCATATTTAGAATATGTTTGTGACATTTGAGTAAGCTGTTTTTTCCAGCTTGCGATGTAGCAGAAATGATGTTTTTCCTCAAATTATTTGTATCAGCATAACAAGTATTTTTTGAGGCTACCAATTCATAATTGTGGTTTCAAACAGCATTGTTGCTTATATTTTGAGTAGGGCAGTAGGCAGAGCAATCCTAGATTGGCAATAGTGAAAGTCAGTTTGCACTTTTGTATTCTATTATTTTGTTCTGGTAATAATTATTAAAACTTAAACTTGATGGATTTTCAAGCAACCTTCAAAGTTCAGACATGTCTAAACATTCGATGTATTTCATGCCTGTTGTTTAATCTATGCAGTTTCAACTTCCTCATATAAAAAGTCTCAATATAATGATATGCAGCTCTCTTGCATGTTCGAGGAAAAAAAACTTACTCATATAAAAATAAAATTGATTGTTGCATTGATTTAATTGTATACTGCCTGGAGAACAGCTCCATTGATTTTGTTTCCCTTGTTTCTTTCAACATGCAATGCCTTAATATCTGAAAGGTGAACATAAAATTACTAGTCAATGCAATGTCAGCAGATTCCCTTACTCTTTGTGTTTTTGAAAGAACCAAACGTATTTTGCAGACTTCTCATAATATTTGAAATTATGACCATCCTTTGTCATTTCTTGTGCAGTTATTGTGCATGTTTCGCTGCTAAAGTCTATCGTTCAGAATTCTGCTCATGTCAAGGCTGTTCCAATAATCATATGCATGAGGAAGCAGTTTCTCATATTCGCAAGCAGACTGAATCTCGTAACCCTCTAGCATTTGCTCCAACAGTCACTCGCACATGTGGGCCTGTTTCAGAATTTGGGGTAAGAACTAAGAAGAACAGATCCTGTTAGTTGCATTTTTCTTCTTTTTTCTTTCACTATTGCTCATGGCATCCCATTCATTGTAGGATGATTCTAACAACACTCCTGCTTCCGCTCGACATAAAAGAGGATGCAATTGCAGGAAGTCTTCTTGTCTTAAAAATACTGCGAGTGCTTTCAGGTACCATTTAACTTGCCAATTTAGTTTTCTTGACTTAATCTAACTTTGTTAATAAATTGACCTGTTCATGTGTTTATTTAATATATAATGTTATTCTGTGTCATAAGAGTGGTGTAGGGTGCTCCATAAGTTGCCGATCGAGAGTTGTAAGAACTCTTTTGAAAAAGAGAGGGTGAGTTTGATCCATTCTCGATATTCTTTTCTTTAGAAAATGCAATTAACCAGTTTACATGCTTCTCAGTTTAATGTACATGTACACTAATGTTTGCCAAAATTTGTGCTTGCCATCTTATCCCCATGTTCCTTTAAATAGCACAGCTTTTGGTCAAAAGGTGCTGTGTAAGTTCAATAACTGTGTCTTGAATTTTTCAGTTCCATGTCTGAATTTAGTTTACATTTGTGCTAGGATTTTATATATAGCTGGTTAGAAACTTATGATTGACAAAACATGAACAAGAACATGCTAGTTGGTTTGAAGTTGGGTGGCTAACACTGAATTAGTTAGAGTGTGCAATTTCTTGACAGGGTAACACTGAATTTGTGTTTACATACCACTTGATCTTCATCTTTGAATAGAGGCTCATGCTTGGAGCAGGCTTTAATGCTTAGTTGCCAGGTTTTAATGCTCTTATTTTCCCTTGAAGGTGTGCTGTTGTTAACTACTGAAAAACTGAAGAAAGGGGGTAAAGCAAAAGGCAGTCATGGGAAGGAAGAGAAACTTGCGTTTGACAAACACCATGTGATTAGCCAATCTGGTGATCTTGCAGCCTCTGAGAATCTACTCGCAACACCTTCGCTTGAGCCTTACAGGTTTGTATGTCTTGTGCATGGATGTTAGCATGATTCTTGCGTCCCTTACAAAACTCCATACGCTTAACATTTTGAGTTCTCTTTCAGATCTTCCTTCCTACTTCCATCTACATGCTCCAAACTGACACCGGCAACTGCTGGGTGCTCTTCTGGACTGCACAACCCTCGGTCTCCCATGAAATCAGATGATGTGCTCTCACCTTTCGTAACCCGCGCTGCAGCGATGATTCTCGGGAATGATTTTTCAGATATCCAGGAAGTGGGTTCATCTTGCACCACCGGTGTCAAGGTTGTTTCACCAAACAAGAAGAGGGTTGCCCCCCTGCACATTGGTACGGCATTGTCCCCAATCGGTAGCAGCAGCAGAAAACTGGTTTTGAAGTCCATCCCTTCCTTCCCTTCCCTAACTGGTGATGCTGATAGTGAGCCCCACTAAACAGAGTCCGTCAGCATATGGCACCTGAGGTACGCATTTGTTGTCTTCTTTTCTTCTCTAATGTTTTTGTTTGCAAAACTCAATTGACTATACAGTTTCTTTTTTCAGTCTAGCTGATCCCTTCGGGTACCCTGGATCCTGGAAGATGATTTTGCCTGCTTTTGTTCTGACGAAGAGTTGAAGGAACTTGTTTTAGCACCTCTACCATATAGAAATATAGTTGCATTATCTTGAGAGGCCGAAGCCTAATAGTTCCACTAAATGTGCTTGACCTTTCGTCACCTAGTTCTATAAGGTCAGTATGTATATACTTCCACAGCTCGTGGGGGTGAACTACATACGTATGGAACGAATGAATGCTTATTTCGTTAAAAAGAAAGAATGAATGCTTAAATTTAGCAGAGTAGTCAATTCAGTTTACTATAAGTTTGTGACCAAACATCACCGCTGCCATTTCCAGTCATTTTCCTTAAACACATTACACTCATGTACATCACGCATATAGGGCGTGTTCGGCTGGCTTAAAGCTAGCCGGCTGGCTTGTTTTTCCTCTCACAGAATCACTGTTCACGTCCTGTCAGAACAGTATTTTTCTCTCACAACAATCAGCCGGAACAGTATTTTTCAGTCCTGCCGAACAGGCCCATACATCCTACCCCTATAAGCAATGATGAGCTGTCTTGGCGTTTCGCCATCAATGGTCCGTCATCTGCAACTGAATGGATCTAGAACCCCTATACGCATTGCTGAGTTGTGGTTGAGGTGATCATTTTCAATGGTATAGTTGGGACCTCATCTGACATTTACGAGGATAAGCCTTATAGCTGAATGGATATCCCAATTGCATCCTTGGCATAAAAGAACAGTTCCAGTTGAGATTTGAGCAGTAACATATTTAGAAACTCAATTCTACTACTCCCTCCGTTACAAATTATAATTCATTTTGACTTTTTTTTTTGACTCTAAGTTTGACCACTCGTCTTATTTAAAAAATTTGTGCAAGCATTGTCAAATTTAAGTAATTCTTGAAGAACTTTTGTTAATATAAAGTAAGCCACAACAAAAGAAGTGATATTGTGCACAAATTTTTGAATAAGACGAGTGGTCAAACTTGGGGTCAAAAAAGTCAAACGAATTATAATTTGGAACGGATTTAGTACTTCAGTATACTTGACCTCAAGAAGAATTAAACTTCTTGTGGACTCATCCACAGACGTTAATACATATTAGATAATGATCTGGAGTACCTGCAAAACTCGTGTATTTATAGGACAAAAAGGTTCTAGCTTGCAAGAAATGCTGATAGAAGAATACAACTCGGTTCGTAAACCTGCCTTTCAATGTTTTGACAGTATAAAATCCACGGGGAAGTGTCTAACAAGTTTGGAAAGTCATGCATATATTTTGAAGAACTATCCAGCTCATTATACACATCAAACATCATGTTACATTTGTATTCTCTGTACACATAATGATGGTAGAAATTTTGAACAGTGATGAACTACAAGCTCATCTGAATGCCGAAGTCTGATACTACAAAATCAATCCATTCCACGGCCCTTGGTCTCTACAGGGAAGAACATGCAGGCAACTGCAGCAAGGCATAATATCACCTCAAACACAATGAGTGCTTCCATCTGGTGGCAGCTCCGCAGCATAGCGACAGCAACAAGAGGGCAAACAACCCCGCCAATTCTACCAACGGCAGTTGCAATTCCTGCACCGGTTGAGCGGACAAATGTTGGATATACCTATGAAAAGAAAGAAGGGAATTAGCTGCCAAGGCATAATCTGCTGCAACTGCAAGGAAATAAGTTCCACAACTTGACCACCAAAACTAGCAAAGCATGTTTAGAGTCTAAAGAACCACAGGCACAAATAAAAGTCGATTAGTAAAGGAGAGCGCATAGTAGATCCAAATGGACGTGGGATACTCTGGTAATGAGCCCTGTTCTATGATTCTTAATTGATGGCAGTTTTACAGATTATTTAAGCATGGTATAACTAATATTATACACCATATGACACTGATACAAACCTCTGGAGCATAAAGACACAAAACTGTAAAGCTCCCCATGGCACACGCACGGGCACCAAATAGAAGAATAGTTGTCAACAGCTCATTCTGTTGAAGTACAAGTGGTCCAAGGAAAGCACAGCATGCGAACATCATAGACCACATCGAAGCTTTTCGACCAAACCAATCAACAAGAACAGCAGACAAAAATAAACCTGGGATTTCTGTAGAGATTGAAACCACGAGTTAGTGTGATATTCCAGTGAGACATAACAGGAGGCAAAAAGAAAATAAGGGAGTTATCATATGATACCTGCTAAACTAGTGATGAAAGTATCTTTGTAAAGATTGGTAACCTTTTGGTTCAGGCCAACATTCACACCAGATGCACAGCTTTTATTTGCATCACTCAACTGTGATGTCAGCAATACTAACCCATAATAAGCAAAGGAATTTGCATAGAAAACAAACCAAAGAAGAAGAGTTGATCTGAGCAGTGCGCGATAACAGTACGCGCAATGCAGCAAGACTGCCAGATTCGGAGCTCTTGGCATTGTCAACTGTGCATTCCTTCTCTCTAACAGGAAGAAGACATTCACTCTCAGAAGCAAGAGCGTCGTGGTCAAATTTTGTTTGTCTATTGTATGTGAGAATTCCTGGAGGAAGAGCTGATTGGTTTGCATTGGCCATTCTCTCCAGAACAGCAGTGGCATCGGACATTCTACTTTGTGCACAAAGGTAGCGCGGAGACTCAGGTGTTACTCCAAAGAAAGGAAGCAAGAGGAAGCATGGAAGGGCGGTGAATACTAGCAGCCACCTCCAATTCAATGCTGGTAATACGACCTACAGCAACAAATATAAATATAAATTACTAAAAACTAACAGAAAAGAAAGTAACCAATAAAATGTAAGCAAGAAGCATCATTAAACTGATTACCAAATTTAAAATTTACTGCATTTCAGTTATTTTAACTTACTGCAGAAAGTTCAAGAATTCAGATTGCCCACATTATGGCATCACAGATTGTAACAGAATAAAAAATATTATCAGCATACACGAGGTACATGCAAATGACATATGTGCTCGACATGAAGCATTCTGGCACAGGCACATGGTTACAGAAACATGCTTGAATCATATTCCACCATATTCTACAGAAAGTGTACTCGAGGTTCTTTCTGGTTCTATACAGGCACTATAACTATAGTTTACTCTTCATTCGGATTTTATTTTTGTAAACAGCATGCTCATGTGATTGGGAACAATTTCGCATGCTAAGGATTGCATCTAAAAGAAACAAAAATTATCATTACCCATGCAAGTGAAGCTTCCAAGATTGTGCCGAGAGTCCAGAAAAGGGAGAAAATAACCATCCAAGTGCCACGGTTTTGTGCAGGAACAAATTCCAAAAACCAAGATATAAACACATGGCTGCCACCCACTCCTACTCCAACGAGAAACCGAAGAGCCACCAAGCATAAGTAGTTAGGAGATAAAGCACTTAGAAAACCCATTCCACTAGTAAACAGAGTTGAAAAGATTAAACCAGTCCTGAAATAGGGGAAATGTAAGTTTTATCTCATTTATGCTTGAAACAAAGAAAGGAATGGCATACAAAGACTAGAAAATATCCAACTTGACCCTTTCTAGTTTCATGAAAGTCCTGATTAGATCCTCTAGAAAAGCAGTAATTTAATACCCATTTTCCAAGCCAAAGCATTATACAACTAACTCTTCAATATAGTTCTCAAAGTAGTATTGCAATGTTGCTGTGGATCCCTCTTAGCATTCAGATATAGGAAAAGTAGAGAGAGCACATACGAGACATGAAGGAAAATTATCTATGCTTTTACCCTGTAATCCTTGTGAATCATTGTATGAGGTAGCTTGCTGACATGGCTAGTTAGTTTGCCGACGAAGCAAATCTAGCCCAGCCGGATGCCATGAGCAAACCACTACCAATACCTCTGTAAAGATGAAAATTGCACTGGTTCTCAAATTTGAGAAGGTAAATAGCTGCTTTTGTAGTAAAAAGGTCAAATATGTACTGCATGAAAGTAGATGATGGTAAATTAGAATTTACCCTATAAAAAACATTGCAGATTCCTTCATTTTTGTGTCAAATTTACCATTAGGTTTGGTGCTGGTGGCTTCTTACTGAAGTGCATTATTCAGTATTGAGGTTGTAATTTGGTAAGCAGTTGCAGTTATAATCACATCATACTAAGCATATATGACTTTATGCTTCAAAAATCTATAAAAAAGAATATCCCATTAGCACATATACGGACACATGTAGATTGAACCTAAGAATTGATATGGTTAATTTGAGGTTAAGATAAACTCAAGGTCAGGAAGGATCAGTTGACAACCAAATCATGAGAGCGCTTGCGCTTGTACGAGGAAACCTTACCTCCGTCCATATTTGTCGGAAACAAAGCCCCAAGCACAGGCACCTAACAGCATGCCAGCAAAGACAACACTTGAAAGGAGGCTCTCGTTCTCCGGGGAGACGTTCCACTCCTCTCGTATGAACGGCCCAAGAAACGACAAGAGCATGAGCTCCATGGCTTCTGCGACCCAGCCCATCCCAGCGTAGATCAGAACAAGCGCTTGGAATTTCCCAAACCCCATCATGGAGAGTGCGTCATCTGTGGTATATGTCTCCATGTTGGGAGCCATCACCTGCGGATCCAGAGAAGTCATTCTGTCAGATTAGGATGTGAAGCACGAACGGCCCAGAGATATACTGTTTGCAGTTTTTTTTTTCATTTTCATTTTCCTTTTTGGAAACTGACCTGTAAGTTTCTAACTGGACAGTGAACAGGGCACAAGGGATGCACGGCACGGAAAGGAATATCCTAGCCATGAATTTAAGTTTCAAGTAGTCGATTGGATTAAGGATTTCCATGGCCAACTAATAAAAAAAAACAGAGATCGGTTGATCGACGGAGTATGAAAAAGCAGCCAGACCCTGCTAGTGCTAGGTGCTAGCGCAGCTTCTTCTTTTTTTCCTCCCAAAAAATTTCTGCTCCTTGACGCAACGTAACCCCGGAAAGTGTAAAAGCGGGTAGATAGAATAAACATGAGGTCCGTATCAAGAACAGTAAAAATAATCCCCTGATGACAAGACGGCACCAAGAACAGGCGGCCCTCCACCCCGAACTTTTAACCACCAGCCACAATGGATTAGCTGAGAATCTCAGAAGCAAACGGGGTGGGCAGGGCGATCGACGAGCGCTGGACGGCGGGGGGACGGAGGGCAGGATCGGAGAGCGGGTGAAGGAACGAACCGTTGCTCGGCCGCCGGCGGCGGACGTGGGGAGGAGCCGGCTAATTTCCGTGGCAGGCACGCCGGTGTCGTGTCGGCGCCGGGGTTCCTTCCTTCCTTCCAGGGATGCGATGCGAGGGAGAGAGGGGGTTTATTGGGGAGGGATCAAATGCGCAATTGCAGGGGGAAGAGGACGACGGGGAGAGGGAAGACGGGCGATGGCGTCGCGCCGCGCGCACACTCAACGAATGGAGGAGACCAACAACTACCCGTGTGGTCGCACGAGTTTTTCTTTGCGTGGCCGTCGTGCGCCAGGCGGCGGCTGGGGTCCACGCCGCGCTCCTCGCGTCACGTCTGCACGCGACGATTTCCCATCTCCACGGGACTTCTATACCTTTATGTGCAGCTCTCTTATTACATAGAATCTGCCCCTGACCAACATCCCTTTTTAAGTATGCGTGCAAAAAAAATTTGGAAATAAAACTCACGCACATACTCTATTAAAAATGACGTGGACCCTGCATAAAAAAAATGACGTGGACCCTTTTTTTTTTACTAATCCGTATTTTCTAGTTTTGTCTTGTACGGGAGTTTGTTGGTAGATCCAAACACGATTTTAAGGAGTAGTTACAGTAAAGCAACAAAAAGGATAATGACATACGGAGTACTCTTTTTTCTCTATCTAATTTTTTTAATTAAAAAGATTATCTTTAGCAAGTTATGTGTATAGAAAAACTAAAATAACTTATAATTTGAAATTGAGAAGAGTTATTTTCAAATAAATTTTCGATAATGATATACGGCGGGCGTTCAGACGGAACGGACGCACCCGCGCCGAACCAACCCACCCTTTTGCCGCACGCTGCTCCCGGTCCTTATCCTCTCGACCGCTCGAGTCCCGCAGCGCTTGCGTGCCCTCTCCGTTCTACTGTCGCGCTCGCCTGCTAGCTGGGAAACGCTGCGCGCCATGCGCCACCTCGTTGTCACGCCCGGCTGCCGGTGCTCCCTCCCTCCCTCCCTCCCCCTTCGCGAGCTCCATGCAACTCCACGCTGCCCAGCGACTTAGCTCCCGTGCCTCCCACCGGAGACGAGGACAACGGCGGCGGCTCCGACGAGGTAGGTGGTCTTTCTATGGATCTGAACCTCCTCCTCCTCATTCTCTGCATTTGAGCCATTCTCCTCCTCCTGCTCTTCTGAATCTGAGGGACGCGATGGTGGCTAGGGCTCCGGTGAGCTCTGGGGTCCTTCCCTCCTCCCTCCAGCGAGCTTGGAGGTGATGGGCCAGGGCTGGAGCAACCTGTACCTCGAACCCAAGTCCTTGTTGTTTTCGTACGTCTTTTTGTTGTTTTCTCTGGGTTGTAATGGGTTTTTTTATGTTGCAACAGAGATTTTCGAACGTTGCAATGGAATTTTTGGGTTGTTGCAACATATGTTTCCCTGAATGGTCCCATTTTCCATGTTTCATGGTCGTTTTTTGCGATATTGCAGTACATATTTTTCGATGTTGCAGCACATAGTCTTGATGTTGCAGTACATAATTTTTTATGTTGTAGCACATATTTTTTCGATGTTGCAGTATATATTTTCCGATGTTGCATTACTTGTTTTTCGATGTTGCGGTATATGTTTTTTTGATGTTGCAGCACATAATTTTAGATATTGCAGTACATGTTTTTCAAAGTTGCAGTAAATATTTTTTTTTGTTGCAGTATTCATATTCTGATGTTGCAGTGCATAGTTTTTCCATATGTTTGCAATGTTGCACTCGAAGTGTTTTCGTGCTCTTTGAGGACGGGTGTAACACCCCAGCCCATTTGTAGCCTGTAGTAGTTGTAAAGTTAGCCTATGTAGCCCAAGCGGCACATGTGGAGTTGTTTTGGACACGGGTGTTACAGATGGCATTCAGAGCTCAACCCTTGCTGCATGTGCCTATGGAGGGGGTGTACCAAGGGGTGATCCTGTACATCTTGTAACACCTCTGGTGTTTTGGCCTAATACTAAAATTTGACATGTCATCATATGCATTGCAAAGCATTCATAAGGAAGAAAATTTGGAATGCATTCACTAAATAAGATTTGTTTCATAAGTTGTTATTTCATGTGATGTGTTTCAACAACTCTAAATACAGATCATGACCACAAGGGTTAAATTTCATGTGATCATGTGAGGTCATATGTCCTTTGACTCAAATAATCCTAATGGGCTATGTTACTGGTCAAAAGTCAAAATCTAAGTGAAAGGAAGACAAATCAAATTTGAATTCATATTCAAATTACATAAGTCATTTTTGCCCCTTTTTACTAATTCAAAATCCATTTGGAATTTGGAGTTTTGACAAAAAGCAAAGTTGGAGCTTATTTTATAAGGATCAACTTTGGTATTCAAAGTTTTTCAAGTTTACATATAAAATTTGGAGTAATTTTGAAATGATTCAAATACTCTAATGCACACAAAATTCAAATTTCAAAATGGAGGCAGAATTTGAAAATGTTTCTAGAAGCAAAGTTGTAGAGTTTGAAAAATTGAACAACTTTCATTTTTGGAGATTTTCAACTTCTTTAGAAAATTTGTGAGTAATTGAAAAAAATAGTCTCAGTGGCGATTCTGTAATTTATTCAAAATCAACCGGAACAGTCATCACCTCCCCGCCGCCACCGAGCTGCCGCCGCCGATCGGTTTTTCACGCTTGCTAGCGGTGACACGCCGATGTCACCGTGGCGAACCCGCCGTCTTATTTGGACGCCGGACGCCTTCTTCCGAAGCTATAAATAGCTACGGCCGCCATTGCCGTTCCCATTCTTCCCTCGCTCCGCGCTCCGCCACCACGTAGCTCCTTCGCCGCCCGTAGGCATCGCCGAGCCGCGTCAGTCGTTCCCAGCTACGTCAACGTGATCGCCTCGGTCTTGCGCTCCTCCTCGATTTGCTCTCATCGCTGGTGTTGGCCGGAATCGCCCGGCGCAACCCGTCTTCCCCGAGACCGGTCGGAGCTCCGCCACGACTGCCCTCCCCGTGGCCAGGCTGCTCCAGACCATCTCCGTCTTCACCAAGTCCACCATCGTGATCATAGTGAGCTCTCGAACGTGTTTATCACTTCGCTTTATTCTCTTCATGCATCGCCGCCGTGGTTACGTGCAATGCGCCGCTGCGTGCCCGAAGCCACCATGGCCGGGCGTGGAGCTCGCTCCCGTGAGTCTTCGTCGTTCGAGGATTGGGTTAGATTCGCGACGTGGTGTAGAGCATGGTGGTACAAATCCGCTCACCGGAGAAGCACCGCCAACGCGTTTTCTTTGGCGGGCTGAGTCGGCAACAGCACCGCTGCTGCCTCGTCTTTGTGTCGACTGACAATGGGCCTAGGTTGTCGGTCATGAGTGAGGAAGAAGAACGGTGAAAATTTTTATTTTACGAATTTGTGAATAGTATTGAATCTTTGGAAATTTGTAGAAAAATAATCATAGCTCCAAAAATTCTGAAAATTTTGTGTAGCTTCTGTACATGTTCTAGTATGATTTAAAAATTTGAAATTTGAAATTTGGATAAATTTTTAATGTTCAAAAATTCAGTCAATTAATTAATAAATGCAATTTCCATGATTTTTTGTAGGCCTTGTATAACTCCAAAAATTATGAAATTTATTTTGGTACACTAATTTATCATGAGGATGCTTGTGTAAATTTTTGAGATCATTTGGAGCAAGTTCATTTTGAGCTTAATTCTAAATTAATTCAAAAATAAATAAAGGTAAACCCTAAGTGTTGGTTTAGGGTTTGATCTTGATTTGGGTCGTATAGTGTGACTAGTAGGGCCCCAAGATCCATTTGGTCAAGTCACATGTATGGTTCTTAATGGTAGGATTGAAAGTTGGTTTTGTTGGCTTGCAACTGTACCGTGAAATAAAATCATTTGCGAGTGTTTTTACATTGTACCGTGAAAGCATCATGTTTACATTATCATCATGTTAAAGCATATGTTATCATTTCGTGTAGAACCCGAGAGAGCGAAAGCGATTCTAGTTGAGCAAGTTCGGAAGAATCCCGGTTGTCGCGGGATTTGATAATTGTGGTACTAATCCTAAACCAGGAAATCGTCATCGAAGGCAAGCCCGGTTTATGCATTACACCATTACCTTGTTTACTTTGAAAAGTTTATCACTTATGTTACTTATCGCATTAAGTTGTTTATTCAAATGTTACCTACTTGATGCATTGCCTACCTTGTTAATTGTTTACCATCCTTGAAGATGATTTCATTTACAATGGCGTAGAATTGCTTAGTATGCTTTATGGTAGGCTTTTCAAAATAAAAGTTTTGATATAATCAAAGATGGCATACTGGCCAAAGAAAGAAAGAAGGAAGGTAGAATGAACTAGAGACTAGTTGGGTGGCTTATCTTGAATGTTGGGTAATGTTGCCGACTATGTCGCTTAAAGGCCACTCATTGTGGATCTTCTGAACGAGACACTTTGTAGTACTGGTCACATACTCCGGTAAGCCTACTTCGGCTAATCCGATACTAAGACTAATGCCCACGCACTGGAAGTGGTGAGATGGCGGGAGTAGCGTGTACCCTCGTGGCTTGAATGTGGCCGGATTTGAGGTGTGCTGTGCTCTCGGGTGGCGTGGAGACGGCTTAGTACGGGAGGATCCGGTAGCGAGGTTGATATATGCAAGATTAAGTTCTACATATGTCGTGTGATAAGGAATCCCCATTTGGGACTTGAATCAATTGAATTGCATGGTGCTCATGGACATGGAGACTCGATTCATTACAGAAGCAATGTAGGACTGGTGAATTACTAAAACATGAGAAAAAGAATGGAATGAGAAGGATTGGAACATGGGATATGAACACTTAGTAGGAGATATTGAACTAAAATACTTAGAGGTAAAACTTGAAACTAGGATCAAGAATAGTAAACTTTTAGCAAAGAATTTTTGAATCTTTCTACATCCTTACCTTGACCCAACACCAGCATCCCTAATACCTTCGCCCTTTTTGGTCGGGTCAGTCTTGTTGAGTACTTTTGTACTCAGGGTTTGTTAACCCTTGTTGCAGGGGAGACGCATGCGCAGGCTTGTTTTGGTCCCTGCTGCATGTCAGTGTATGAAGTCGATGACGATGAGGAATGATGAATGGCCTTTGGACAAGGCACTAGTTTGTGTGAAATAAATAATGTTAATGTAATATTATCTCGCTACTATGGTTGTATAACACTTATGGTATTGTAAGTTTGAAAACAACTGGTTTGTAATTATGTTATCTTAAGACTTCATTTATCATTTACTCGTATATATTTGAATAAACTATTTGTAATCTGCAATGACTGTGATTGGGATCCTGTTTGAAAAGAGAGAATCGTGGATGATTCGGGTTTCCGAGGACACCCGGCTGCACTGTTGAGTTGTTGGGAACTCGTGTACGCTAATCGAGGTCTGTTAAGACGACGATAGGTGCATGTGGGCCCAATTCCTTAGGAGGTTCTGCCACACATCTGCGGTGAGCTGACGAGGGCGTCAGCCCTTAAGGGGGGGTGAATGTAACACCCCAGCCCATGGGGTTGAATGTAACACCCCAACTCATTTATAGCCTATAGTAGTTGTGAAGTTGGCCCATGTGGAGTTGTTGTTGGGGGGTTAGTACCACCTTGGAAGTCTAGGAGGTGAGGGCCAGCTTATAAACCTTGTCATTCCAAACGTAGCACTTCCGGGTTAACCCTTTTACACGAAGCGAGAACGAAAGTGTAAGAGAGGTGCTACGCGTATGCATGCCCGTTCCACGTGCGGAGCTAGGCCATATAAGCAGATTTTGGACACGGGGTGTTACAACAGGGGGCACGGTGGGGGAACGGGGTGATGCGGGTGCGGTCGGGTTCCATTATATTCCAACAATGACAGGAGCGGTTTTGGGAAGCGTGGAGTGGCGTTCGTTCTATTCCCACAGGATGGTAGGGCGGGGTTAAGAAGGAGTGGCATTCTATTCCCGCAGGAAGCAGGCGGGTTTGGGAGGGCACGGTGGGAAGGGCGGCCGGACACATCTCGTGTGCCGAATGTCCCAAGCGCTAGGATTATCCATAAATTTTTTATCGTGGTGGGTACATGAAACAATGTGTTTCTTTTTCAGTTCCTCTTCTATATTATACATACTTGGGAGCTAAGAGAAACTAAAAAAACTCTTCGTATCCTTCCTAATTTATAGGAATGAAGATTTTAGTGAAAAAAATATCCTCCAACAACCTCTTTAATTGGATCTTCAAATATAGACATCCTTTATTAAGGGTTTCTCGCAGAGATAGAGAGCGAGAATGACTCATGCACAACATATAGAAAAACTATTGTATTAAAGATTTAACTCTCCAAATTATAATTTAGAGAGAGAATTTTAGAAAGACTATTCGACATGTTTTATCAACTGAGTAGGATCTGAGCGCTTCAACTGCCCACCAAAAGGTAATTCTTTAACTTGGTATCAATACTCACGTAATCTTAAATTTATTTTAAAATTTGAAGATAATATTTTTTTCAATGGCAAGGAGACGTCTGTAACGATTTCGTCAACTTCATTATGGTTCAAACTCTCCAAAGTGCTCATTAGATAATACTCTCTCCATCCTAAATTATAAGTCATTATAATTTTCTTGGAGAGTCAAAACATCTAAAGTTTGACTAAATTTATATAACACAATAATAACATTTATGATACCAAATAAGTATCATTAGATTCTTCATTAATTATATTTTCATATAATACATATTTGATGTCATAAATCATTGTAATTTTTTCTAATTCTGGTTAAACTTGAGATGTTTTAACTCTTTAAAAAAATTAAAATGACTTATAATTTGGAAGGGAGGGGGAACATGTGCTTATGTCCGTGTAAGTGAGTTACTGCCTGCAATGTGTTTCTGAAAAGGAAATATACAGATATGGAAAAATTCGTACCAGCCATTGCAAGGTGACGATTGCCTGGGGTAAAATCAATCCTATTGTCCCGGGACGTAAGTGTAGTTTGGACTATTCCGACGTGACTATGACATTGTGGAAATTTCGCGGTTTCTTATTATTCTTGCTCTTAGACTAGAAGCTTCACCTGACTTGGACCTAATGGATCGTTATTACACCACGGCTGACACGTTCTGCATAGTCTATGCATGCAGGAGACCACCAGCTTCACCTGATTGGTATGTACTGAGTACTACTGGAAGCTAATGATTAGCAGTATGTTCGTTTTGGTTTATTCGCTCGTATCTGACTTATAATCCACTACTTGAACAATATTTTTCTCTCACATCAAATCAGCCAGCGGTACTTTCAGTCATGGCTTATAAGCCAATTCAGCCGAAACGAACAGCCTCCATGGCTTCTGTAGAAAGTTCAAGCCAATTCAGCCGAAACGTGATAGGTAAACAATTTGGTATTTTCACATACGGTCAGTATTATATACTTTTATTACTACTGCCAATTTTGCCAGGTCCAGAGCATGTCCAATATAATTTTGCTACCTCTTTTTGGTTCTCTTCTACTTATTAGATCAGATGTTGCTTTCAGCATACTCCTATCCTATCATACATTTAAATTAAAACAAAACCAAACCATACATAGTGCACATTACTAGGTTAATTATATCATAATCCATCCCTTTCATATATAGCTTTCTTACTAATCAAGTGCATTTTTTGTTTGTTTCAACTGAAAGCGAATTTAGAAAGACGACAATCTTGTATTGTATCTCATCATACCATGTTGATGGAGATTGGGCCATTGGGGATGCGCGTACAACCTTATTACCATGTAGTACTCGGTACCACTATTTGATATACTAAGGTGTGGTGTTTGGATTCAATGACTAAAATTTAGGAGGTGTGTTGGGAGGATGTTGTATGGGGTGTTTGGATACTAATAAAAAAATAAATTACATAATCCGTCAGTACTCCACGAGATGATTTTTTAAGCCTAATTAATCCGTCATTAGCAAATGTTTACTGTAGCACCACATTGTCAAATCATGGACTAATTAGACTTAAAAGATTTGTCTCGCAAATTAGTTGCAAACTATGCAATTAGTTTCGTAATTAGTCTATGTTTAATACTCCATGCATGTGTCCAAACATTCGATGGGACAGCGACTAAAATTTAGGAGAGGCAACCAAACACCACCTAAGTGATAGATACTGGAGGCACACGTTAGGTCGTGTTACCCCCCAAGGCCCCCAACGAATTGATGTTGGGCATATCCAGCACCACAAGAATATCCTCGCTATAATCACTGCCCACCACATGTTTATAACTTCATTAATTTATTTACCTGATGATGAGGTTTGATAAGAACAATGCTATTACAAATACTACTCATTGCTAGTTCTTTTTCGTAATGATTATAACTTCTCTTTATACTTCTTTGCATATCCGTTAAACTTGTCGCGGATATAGTTGTGTCTATACACAACTATGATGAACCCACAAGCCCATCTGGATGCCCCAAGTGTACTGAGTTTACACCATGTGTCCTTCAGTCCATTTCTCGGCCCTTGGTCTCTACAGGGAAGAGAATGCAGGCAACTCCGGCGAGGAACACCACCAGCTCAAACACCAGCACTGCTTCCATCTGGTGGCAGTTCCGGGCAAATAACCCCGCTAATCTTACCAATGGCGGTTGCGATTCCGACCCCCGTTGAGCGAACAGATGTCGGATACACCTAGAAAGAGAAGGGCAGAATTAACTCACTTAAAACACTCTGCTGTGAGTTCTAGTAGGACCTGTCTATAACAATGCTAAAGCTGTATCAAAGTATGTTCTATTTGTAGTCTTCAATCCACAAGATAATGAGATCTAACTACACCTACATGCCGACGTAATGATTTATACAAAGGAAACCTTGAATGATGGATCTTCAAAGCTTCAGGTTGAATAGGATGGCCGTGTGAACATATAATATCAATGAATAATTTATGAAAACAAAATGAACTTATATTAAACACGTTTCCTATAGTCCAGATGCCTGAAATCAAGGACCAAGAGAGATCAAGAGAGGAAGAGAAAGAACATGTATAGTGCTGGACTGCTGGTTTCCTGGATGTTTAGATTAAGATCTAATGGATACTGTTCATTGCCTGAAAAAAACTTAAATTTCAGGCACCTGAGAAATAGCAGCCCCCTATATTAAATACTCTTTACCATAAGAAAGTTAAAACGAACCTCTGGGGCATATAGACATAAAATCGTTGTGGTACCAGTGCCACAAGCACGAGCTCGAATAGAAGAGTAGTTGTTAGCAACTCATTCTGATGAAGTACGAGTGCCCAAGGAAAGCACAGCATGCAAACATCAGGCTCCACATAGTAGCCTTCCGTCCAAACCGATCAACAAGCAAAGCCGACAAAATTAAGCATGGAATCTCTGGTAGAGAAGCGAAACCATGAATTAAATGGGATGTTCCATAGCCAGTCACAACGTGTGTGTGTGTTGGGGGATTAAAAGAACTTACTGTATTCTACCTGCTAAACTAGTGATAAAAGTATCTTTATAAAGATTTCCATCGTTTTGGTGCACTTCAAAGATCAGACCAGATTTACAGCTTCTATTCACATCACTTAGTTGCGATGTCAGCAATGCTATCCCATAATAAGCAAAGGAACTTGCATAGTAAACAAACCAAAGAAGAAGAGTTGATCTGAGCAAGTTATGTGATAATAGCTCGCGCAATGCAGCAATAGCACCAGATTTGGATCCAATAGCATTCCTAACTGTATGTTCCTTCTCTCTGACTGGAATAAGGTGTTCATCCTCAGAAACATGAGTGATGTAATCAGTCTTTGTTTCTTGATGGTATGTGAGAACTCCCACAGGAAGAGCTGCTTGGTTTGCAATGGCCATTCTCTCCAGGACAAGCCTTGCATCAGTCATTCTATTCTGTGCACAAAGATAGCGTGGCGACTCGGGGTAATTCTGAAGAAAGGAAGCAAGAGGAAGCATGGAAGGGCGGTCAATGCCAGAAACCACCTCCAACTTAATGCTGATAGTACAGCCTGCAATGCAAATAAAAATGAGCAAATTTCGATGTGAAAACTTGTACACGTACAAGTCAGATGTGTACCAAACCCAAACCTAACTTGCTGAATTCCAGACATTTTGATCAGATACAGAAAAGTCAGAGTTCAGATGGCTAGGTAAAAGTACGATCATCAGGTAGGCATCACACATTGAGATATCTTAAGCATTGCTACAGAAATAATGACAGTATAGTACAAACGGATAATGCAACTGATAAATCCGGTTGTCAACAGTCACAAATACACTACACCTGAAGAAAAATCAATGTTACACGACACAGAGCATTCCAAAAAAATTCTGGTTTCAGAGCCCTGCTTCAACAAATTCCTACACAGAATTAAGGAAAGCAAGTCCCTCACAGTTATGCATAATGTATTATCTCTGAAATTAACTATTTGCGTTCCTTTCAGAATAGATTATATGTACAGTATTACCTGTAAGAAAACCATGGAATGAAAAAGGGAAAACAATGAGTTGTAGTGAAGGAACAAATGCCATACCCATGCAAGTGAAGCCTCCAAGACTGTGCCAATAGTCCAGAAAAAGGAAAAAATAACCATCCAAGTGCCACGATTTCCTGCTGGAACAAACTCCAAGAACCAAGATGTAAATACATGCCCACTGCCCACTCCTATGCCGACAAAAAACCAAAGAACCAGCAAGCACAAGTAGTTAGGAGATAAAGCACTTAGAAAAACCCATTCCACTAGTAAGCAGAGTTGAAAGCAATGGAACAGTCCTGAAAAAAAAATACAAGGTTTTGTTTCATGTATGCTTGGCATATAGAAAATTAAACATAGAAAAGAATCATTGTAAAAAACAGGATATAATCATACAAACTAGACCCTCTACTAAGAATCATCAAACCAGTTATTTAATATCCTCTCAACTTTGTGAAGGTAAAGAACACTATTTAGTGGTGCTGGGGGTTATCAAAGTGTTTATGCAAAGCTGTCCGCTTATGAGGCATCCCACTCAGGTTTTATTATTTTACAGGTAGAGAAGAGGGAAGATAAAGAGAGGTGGGAACTAGACAAAAGAGAAGAACAAATTGTTTGTCTTTTACTTTTTTAATCTGTGCTGACTCAGTACATGAGGTCACTAACTGAAATGACTCATTGGTTTATTGACTCAGTGAACTGATACCAATCACAATTGCCAAAATTGAATTGGTTTATTTGGACATAAGTCATTAGATCCAACACCTCGGACCAGTGACAAAATAAAAGGACTCGATCTTATTCCTGCCTGTTTTAAGAAGCCAATTCTTGTGAATGGAAACAGAAAGAGTTTTCTGGAGCAAATCCTTACTTTCTTCCGTATCTGTCGGAAATAAAGCCCCTGGCACAAGCTCCGATTAGCATGCCAGCAAACACAACACTGGATAGCAGACTCTCATCTTGGGGAGAGACATTCCACTCTTCCCGCACCACTGGTCCAAGAAATGACAATAGCATAACCTCCATGGCTTCTGTAAGCCAACCCATTCCTGCATACGCAAGGACAAGTGCTTGGAACTTTCCAAACCCGATGAGGGTAAGAGCGTCGTCGGTGGTGTATGTTTCCATATTAGCAGCACCTGCAGATTCTGCAAAGTACAAGGTGTCTCAAAGAAATTGCAAGCAGAAACTTGTGGTGAACCAACAATTAGAGATTCCGAGATTGCAAGTCAACTCAATGGGATTTGGTGTTTGCCAATACCATATACTTTACAAAACAATTTCGTTTTTAGGGAACATACTGGACTCACCACTGAACCAGTGTGTGTAGCACCGTGATCTGACAACGCTTATTCGATGAGTAGAATGAGTATCAATGTCTATCTGACCCGAGTTTCAGAATAGAATCAACCACTGCAGTCCATTGACCTTTTTCTTTTTTCTGGATTAAAAGAGTGTGCCGGACGCCACTGCAGTGAAGGAGGTCAATGTTGAGAAACAGAAAGCAAGTGTAATCCACCCAGCAAGTTAAGGGAGCCATGCTTTATTGACAGAAGCTGAAAGCACAAAGGAAGCATTATTCCTTGGAGATTGAGACGAACTGCCATACTATTTTCTCATGGCACCGTCACCCATACACGAGCACAGAACCAGAAAGCTTGGAGTTTGAGAGGTACGGCGTAGTATATTCCTTGTGGATAGGGAGGTACTACTACGGTTTTATTGGCAGAAGATGCGCAGGTGCGTTGACTTTGAGCTGCAGCTGATAGGGTGGGTACATTTTTCTTGACACGGGCTTCTCATCTCAGAGTAAAGAAACGCACGACTGAATGCGCGGAGCTACAGGTCCATGGTTTGCCATGGCTCAGGGCCGAATTTCAGAGCGTGTGTTATTGGGGTTAGTTGTGTGTGGGGATCAGGATCAAAGGCATGCATACGGATACAGCGAAGCCGAACATGTATGCCTAGCCTAGTGTGCGCCCGCCGCACTCTTGCAGGAGAAGAGGAGACCGCCGCCGGTATTCGGCTCCAGTACAAGGGGAGCGGGGTGGCGGAGGACAGACGAACGAAACAAAGGAATCAGCAAAAGAGGCGAGGCCCTGAGGAGGAACTGATGCTCAGTTTCCACCACATGCTTCACCTGAGGAGGGAGGTCTTACAGAATAATCCTATTACAAACATAAAATACTCATCGTGATATATACTTACATCTTTGTCGTATATATAATCAACTCCTCTTTACAAAGTCGTGTCGTGTACATTTATCCGCTAAACTTGTCGTGCTGTCTATTCGCAAATATGATGACGTCACTGCTGAATCGTGCACCCATCCGTATTGCCTTTAAAGTCAGATCTCTCTACAGCTACAGCCTACAGGGAAGATAACGCAGACAGCTCCCGCGACCGCGAGGCACGGCACCAACTCAACACAACAGGACTGCTCGCTTTTCTATCTGGTTGGCAGCTCCGGAGCGTGCCGACTGCGACGAGCGGCGAAGTCGGCAAAACAACCCCAACGTTTCTACCGGTGGCTGCTGCGATTCCGACACCCTTGAGCCCAACAGATGTTGTTGGATGCAGCTACAAAGAGGTCGTTTAACTCCTGTATTCTTCGTGCAAATCCACCGCGCTCACCGACCGTCGCCCAGGCGCCGACCGCCGTGTGTGGCCAGGCGGACAGGAGAAGGGCTCGTTGCTGGCCGGGCTCAAGCCAGACGCAAGCGCAGCTGGCCGCTGCCAAGCCATGTCTCCATCCTCGGGCGCCGGCTGTTCCTGCTCTACTCTGCGTCGCATAAAAGAAGAAGGGTAAAAAACGCACGTTGCAAGTGTATGTTTTAAGTGTTTCAGATGTTTCATAGGTATGTTGCAAGTGTTTTATATGTACGTTGCAAAAGTAGATCGGAATGTTGCATATGTTGTAATGGTTGTACACATATGTTGCAAACTTCCGTTCTCAATGTATCATCTGTTTTTTTTCCAGACGCATGTTGCAACATGTTGCAAGTGTTTTATCTGAATATTGCATATGTTCACAATGATTTTAATTGTTTTTCATGTGTTTTTGCAAGTGTGTTCATACGCATGTTTTAATTGTTTCATCTGTCTTCAAACGTATGTTGCAAGTGTTGCATCTGGATATTTTTAAAGTAGATCGAGTGTTGCACACGTGGTAATGTGCGTGAGAAGCGAAGGGACGCGAGCAGTCCCCACGCGTGCATTACAAAAATTGTGTTGATCCATGACAGTTTTTTTTGTGATTGTTTTTTTTTTTCATCACAGATTAGCACTTGAAGCCCAACGTTGGGTCCAGATTCTGTGACAAAATTTACGTACCGTCATTGTATGACAACGTGGTTTTGGTGTATAATCATTGCCTAAAAATTTCAAATAATTTTAACAAAACGATACTGCTCGAAATTCTTATATTTTGAAATTCAATTTTTTAGTTGTTCAAACAAACTCGTATGATTAAATGATTGTAGATATCGATGAGTTGTACAACTTTGCTTTTGATGATTTTTGCATTTGAAATTATTTTGTGTTGCAAAAAAAGGAAATAAGACAAAAATTGAGGAGAAAAACTAAAAAAAAGAAGCTACAAAGACAGCAGCAGCTATGGACTCACCAATAGGATGGAAGACATTTTGTGTCATGTTTTGCGCATTTGGTTTATACTAGTTAACATGCACATGCTTATAAGACATTTGTAGTTTTTTTATTTGCTATTTTCTAGCTTGCTTGTCGTTATCATCTTATCCTAGTATTTCTATGTTTATTTGAAACCAACACTTTTTGATACTTGTATCTGTAAATTTTGTTGTATATAAATTTATTTATTTTTTGATTTTTCGTTTCAATATATGGGATTTTTTTTGTAAAGCATTTGTATTTGTATCCAATTTATTTTTGTTTTGATGAATTCTAATTCTTTTTTACTTTCATAATTTTAAATTTCTCATTAGTTTTTGAACAACTTTATACATATATAAATATATTCTATCTTTTAATTCTAATTGGACCAAAAGCGCACAGACCCACCGGTAGCAGCGAGCAAGCCAAGGCCCAAGCTTCCATAATTGCTCCTATCGGCACAAATTTATCTACAGTCGCGCTCTGTACTCCGCCCCAGCTCCAATCCTCCAATCCCGCCATGGTTCCTTGCCGTAGATGTCGGGGAAGAATGCGAGCCGTGCAGAGCACCGCCGTCGGGGCTGGCCACCGGGGAAGAAGTTGTGCCAGGCAGAGCACCTCCGCCGGGGCTGGCCACCGGAGCTGGTAGATCCGCCCGCCGGACGCTGGGGCAGGGCTGCGTCGGGTCTGGCCGCGATGCCTGCTGGCCGCCAGGGCAGGGCCGCGCCGCCGGGCCGGTTGCCATTGCTGGTCGCGCCGTCCGGAGGCCACCTGGGCAGGCCCTCCTTCTCTGCTGCGAGGCGACAAGGGCCCTTCGGCTCCTACTCAGCGAGTCCAGTGGTGGCTCCAGCAGCTCGCGTCTCCTTGCCGCGCTCTATTTCGTGGTAAGTTCAGTCGCTCAGACTTATTGACTATCGTAATCTTCTTCATCATCATCTACAGCGGGACCAGGGATGGGGAAAGATTTAGTATCTCACGCTGACAGTTGGCATACTGCATTATACTTTCCTTTGTTACTTTGATGATTAGCATCCAAACTCTAGTACTTATATATTTTTAGTTATCATTTGCATCGTTCTTCAAAGTTGAAAATTGTAGTTCACCACCAATATGTTGTAGGTATTTTTTTAGTGCTTGCTAAATACTCCTGTAGTGCCGTTGAATAAAAATACTATTGTAGTTATCTGAGTTTAGATGACACAATAGCATTAAGCAATAGTTGGCACACTAAATATCATAAGAGACCATTCAGTTCCAGCAAATATAGAAGGGTTTCTGAAATATCTGTAAAAAAATACTTTTCCTTTTCAAACTTCGTAAGCAAATTAGCTTTCTAAAATAAGAATCGTAGTGGTGGATCTACAATTTTCAAAAAAATGGAAGAAGTTATCATAGCAGGATCTGAGTGAACACTCTGAACATCTCACTACTGCAGAAAATAGCAATGATAATGTAGTTCAGTCCAGTTACTGATTGACTACTTTCTTGTCATCCTGGCTACAAACTTTGATTCATTATTGACACTGTTAAGCGATGGTTTGTTTAATGTAATGTGTTCCCGTATATGCCAGTGCAACTGTTTAAGATGCTGATCGAGCTATTCAACAAAAGAATGGATTTCCTGTTCCTGGTAGGAAAATCAGAGTTAAGCTAGAAATAAATCAGTGCTCCACTGAAGGAACGTTTGCAAAAGAAGGAGAATAGTGAGGCTCTTCTCCTAACAGTTTGCTGCTGCTGAAACTCAGTAGATAGTGGATCTGACTGTCATTTGTTTTATTTGCTTGTGAGCAGTGCAATGCAAGTGAAGGACTCCGATTTAAAAGATGAGGCAAACGAGACTTCTCCTGCTGGAAAGCATAAGGGGAAATCACATAAAACAGATCCAGGTTGTAATATAAATTTCTTTGTTTTGTTTAATGTTTTTATCATGGTTAGTATTTTCCAATACTGAAGCAAGATGTTATGTTGAACCAGAGCAACCACATCTGTTGTCAAAGGATGCTATGGTATCAAAGGAAGCTCCCATTGGCGACCCCGAAAAGGTGAAAAAAAATCTGAAAAGCAAAGGTGTGTACTGCAATATTTTACTTCAGAAGTCATCACCTAAATCTAACTTGTCATTTTTTGTAGTAACATTATTTTTAATCGAACCTGGTTGCTTCGCTATTATCACGCCAGGATCAGGGTGTTCTTTTTGGTTGCCATCATCCTTACCCCGTAACCGTGCACGATAGTTACGCTAATATTCGCGGTCTCTAGCCTGTCTTTCAACATCATTATCACAAGACATTACATCAGTAGCTTGTGCTTCACGTTTCCTTTTACATCTTATTGAATTTCTATTCTCTAAACCGACTTCATCCTCTAACAAATATTTGAAAAGGTTAATTGATTTTGAAATAAATAATCCAAACAGACTGTTTTTTAAAAACCAAATAACATACCACCTTGAACATTGCCATCTGATGTTGTGGTCAGATTACCATCTTATCTTGTGGTCGAAGCCATAACAAGGTTTAGGTTGTCTTGTTTATATTGTTAATATGGAGCACTGAAATCAAGAAATTTTAAAGCAATGGTGAAACAAAAAATTAAAGTTAAATGCATAAACTGGAAATATGTTATAGAGTCCAGCGACAAAATTTTAAGCAATTGAGGTTTAGTTGCAACTTGCAAGTCAGAAAATAGATTACTTTTTAGAAACAGACAGTTGAAAGAGAGGTCAGTTTAGTTGCAACATGCAAGTCTGAAAAGAGTAGATTACTTTTAAGAAACATGTAGTTGAAAGAGAGGTCAGAATAATTTTTATAAACATGCATCGCATATTATATTAATCAATCTAAATAATCAATCTTTATTAGTTCATATCAACTGTAACACCCTCGGTGTTACACTATAAATCGTTTACTAAAACACTGCATGAGCATCATATTTATGTGTTAATGTATGTAATATAGTGTGTAAATCAATTTACGTAACTTAAAACGACCAACGGAAATGCATAACGAAAGGTCGTTCGTGACGTATGAAATTATTAGGTAAGGATGTTCGTGAATTTTTATTGAACGAAAACACTATAGAACGTATATACGGAACTTTAATAAAGTTAGAAGTACAAACCTTGTAGATGACGATGAAATACCTACGGTCGATTAATGAATTCACTAGCTATTTGGTCTAATAGATTGGAAATTGAATTTGACGCGAATCTGATCAAGACTTAGTCGATTTCGTAAGTCTGAAAAGTGGTTTGACAAAGTGAGGTTTGGTAATTTTTCTAGAAGAATCGGGTCAAGGAGTGGTGTGGTTTTAGGGCTTGTTTTAGTAGCCTAACATTCTCTCTTGAGTATAGAAAAGGTGGTTTGGCGTTTGAATCAACGAATTGGATTTTTGGGACGCTTTAAAAAGCGTGCGTGGCACGTTTCCGGCCGGTTTCAGCGACTGGGCGCGATCACCGTGCCTCAGCACTCGGCGTCACCGCGCCGGCTCGCCCAGCACACGCACACCGCCGCGCAGGCACCGCATCGCCGCTGCCGCGCCCAGGCACGTGTTGCATGAGCAGAGCACGCACACTCCCGCGCCGTACACCGCCACGCTCGGTGGGCCTGATGCCCTGGCCACCTGCCCTCGCCGGGTCACTGTCGCTGCTTGCGTTGCGTCACGTCTGCCTGAGCCGCTGTGCCACCGCCATCCCATCACCCTGCTGCGCCGCGCTGTCATCGTCGCGCCACAGCACGCTGTCGTTGCGTCCGCCTACACCTCTCCGTCGTTGCCGTCTCGACTTCATGCACGTGGCCTTACCGAGGCCACCCGCTTGTCGTTAGCCATTAATGGCGCCACGACCACGCTGCTGCGCTGCCACCACCCGCACGCGGGGATGCCCCTCTCCTGGCTACGTTGGCTCGTAGTGCTTGCGCATGTGGTGCCGTTGCGTCCCGCCAAAGCTTGGACAAGCAGCCGGACCCATCCCCTTCTTTTCCCCTTCCTCCTCTGTTGCCTGGGCCAGTCAGGCCGCGCCTTCAATCCGGCATGGATAGGTCGTGTCCATTTAATTTAGTGCGCCCCCAACTTCATCTTCGAGCCTGCTAGCCAACCAACCCCGCACCGTGTCCAAT